TCTTTATTCTCCAGGAAATTTTAGCCTACCGAGACCAGGTACAGTACATTCGGTCGCGAGCTCCTTGTCATGTTTCTGGCTGTAAAGCATTTTGTCACATCCTTGTAGGTTGACCTTTTATCATTCTGACGGATCATAAGCTCCTTGTTTACGCTTTTGGTGCATTTGCAGATCATTAATCCCCTAGAGAGACTCCACACATGGAGTAATTAGATTTCTCAATTTGTTGTTGACATTCACCATATTGATGAGCTTGTCGCTGACGCACTATCCCGTGCTCACATCTATCAGTTTCCACGTTAACCATTTGATCTTAAAGAAATGTCTGACGCTCCAGCCAGTGATCCAGAACTGACACAGGTCCCATCGAACGCTAGGTTGAAATTCTTGCGGTTGGCTGTAATAAACCCTAACACAAGTATATAGTGCGATATTTCCACCGGTAAACCGATACCTTTTGTTCCACAGTCCTACCAACCAGTGTTTTTTTAACCATCTTCTAGTATTGTTGTGCCCCAGTATTCGATCTACTGTGCAACTAACCAGCGAACGATACATCTGACGCAATAGTTGCACTAATAACCAACAATGGACTAACAATTATCCAGTTGTTATAGCAACAAGGTTTATAGACACACTGCCATTACTTCTGGTACTTTCTTACTCCCTGCGGCAAGGTTGAAACACGTTCATTTTGAGGTAGTAGGACCGTTACCCGCTTCAAACGGGTTCACGTATAAGTTGACGTGTGCTGATCCTTCTACTCGCTGGCACCTCGCGATCATCTTATCTCCCTTGAGACTGTTGATCGTGCTTTCGTCGAATAGGGGGTTTCATTGTTCAGTGTGCCAGCCACCTTCACTACTGACAGAGGATGGCAGTTCAGTTTCACCCCTTTTCGTGGCTTAAGTATATCACATGGTTGTACTTACCTCCAGAGGACGATCTATCATCCTGATGCCCATGACTTTGTCGAACGATATCATCAACGAATGAAAGCCGTCATTACAGCTACTTCACCTCATGCATGTTAGTCTGAATGCCTCCCAGCCGTTCATCTTGGTGTTTGCAGTACTGCCAAAGAAAATTTTATATGCTACTCAGACAAAAGTTTTTCCCACAGACCTCAGGCTTCCAGCCGAGATGATACTTGACTACCGAGTCACCGGAGAATTGGATCTTACATCCTACGCAGAAAGCCTGAAACAGTAGTAGCGATCCATTGTACAGAAATCGCCTATGGTAAGCTTGGGGCATCAGAGAATTCATCCGGAGTTACAAGATTGTCTGTTTGTATCCGCATTGATGTCGTCCTAAAACCCTTGACACGGCCTTATGAAGGTACACTAAAGATCGCATTGCGGAAGCCGAAATACTTTGTGCTAAGAGAAATAGATCCAAACAGTCCGTAAGCATTGATCGTCTTAAATCTGCATCCATCAAGCCAACGGTGAATAGTTCAAACTCAACCTCGCACACTCAAAACACTCCTGCTCCTATATCGTTGCCCACTGACTAACGCCTGACCGATTCCTAGAAGTCGGAAGCTCCGTTCCCTTCAACAAATGATCCTATACACCCGTTCCGGTCGTGTTGTCGCTTTGCCCTAAAATCCATCACAATATCTCCCATAAACGCTGTCGAGCGTTGCATACCAGCGCACGCTCATGGGGGTGATTTATTTAGCAGTTGTGAATACACCGGTGTGCCTTGTTTTCGGGCGGGCAACACCCAGTCCCCTAACACCGTATTTTTCCTTTATCGCTTCCGTTACCGACCATTTTGTCTCATTTGTTAAAATTAACCAGTTTTAAATACATAACTTCGACCGCGCTCGCGTCGTGCTGATTGGCTTGGTGCTTCCAGTGCTTGCACTGTTACCACGTCTTTCTAGCACTCGGCTATGTAGCTTCGAATCATCAGTGGACATCTGACAGACGGTAACTGAATGAAGGCTTATAAATCAGACGTAACTGGTCTTTCTTCAACAGTGAGTTTCTGCCTAAGATTGTATTCTTGCCTCGGGACTCGAACGTTTTACGTAACGATCAAACTGCTAACTCGAAGCCTCAGCGTTAGCGTAACCCAGTTTCATTTGATCCAATAGGTATCAAATAGGCATCAAATAGTCTCACTGCATGAAAGCCTGCATTCTGCCGTTGAAAAAGCAAACGGAAAAAATTTGGTCCTTACAGGACAACAGCTGGCTAAGTTAAGTTAGGTCAAGTTGGAGTTTCCAGCGGCGTGTAAACAACTAGCTACCATAGACCTGAGATCAGTGATCCAAATCCCATGGGGAGAGCTATAATCGCGACAACGAGGTTAGACTGAAGGTGAGGTGAGGTACCCGTTTGGGGACGAAAGATGATCAAAATGTCCATCTAAACCAGCTACTTTTACGGACAAAGTGGACTAGAGCTGATACGATATCATACGAGTAGCCTGGACAAGCTTTAGGACTAATGTTCACCCAGATATGTTCCCGGCAGAGAGGAAAGGACTCAGGTTTACTAGTACTATAATGAGGAAGCGTACTGGTGATGGATAACTAACTCAATGTACTGGCAAATTTTGGCAGTTGTCAAGATTCCTTGAATATAAATTGTCAGGTGGATCACTTTTCGGGACATCGCCGCTGTACCCACTGCTGCTTGCGTGCAATTTCTACCGACGCCTGAAATATTCTGGACAGATGTGTTGCGTCGCAGGACATGGTAGAAATCGAAGAGACCTAGTTGCCTTCTCCGAAAACCCCTGGGAAGGTAAACTCGGTGCTCACTCGGGATTTCGGTGTCACAAAATAGAAAATGACCGTAAAGTCGTTTTCCTACGCAGTTGCTCTTCATTTCATGGGAGAGTGGTGAACGCCTGTCGAAGAAACAATGATCTATGCGATCAGCCATGATATTCGGCCCACCTCACAAGCAGATTTGCTCAATGATGCGGTCAGTGGCAGTCCCTTGCTTCGCTGTTTGTACTGGCTGTCGCATATCCTGGTCATATGAGTCGCCCGTTTCTTACCAGTGGGTGATTACACGTTTTCCAAATACTCTGACCTAAAATTTAGCTTCTCTCCGAATATTATTGGGTGGAGATAAAGCCTGTGGAAATGACTTCTGAAACTAGGGAGGCACAACTCGCAGGTCAGGAGAGGAGTATGAATAGTACTCAGTTCACCGGTGACTGTGCATGAATACTGAATACTGGTTCGAAGCAGCGAGTAGAGCTTTCTCTGTGTAGCTGCATCATTCATCGCTCTTGGACATATACTCGTTGTGTTCTGTTCCGCTCCGTATATTTTGCGTCTGCAGTGTTTGTCAAGGAGGTTCTTAAATTCCGACACTGAGTTCGCCTCTACTATGTGCTGCGGCAGGTCGTTCCAGACATTCACCACTCTGCGTTCGAAACATAGTTGGTGAGCGACCCGCTTTAACTCTGGTACAATAAGTTTGTACCGGTGTCCTCGCGTGCAGCTTGGTGTGCGCAGATGAAGCAGTTGTCTCAACATGGGGTAATCACCCAGATGTAATATCCGGTGCGTCATGATGAGGTCAACCCTCAGTCGACGATAACCTAGGGTGCACAGCCTTAGTTTCTTACATCGGTCTTCGTATGGCATGATGTCGGTCAGCTGCGATCATCGTGTATGGGATATTCAGATGCCGGATCTCTTGATAGAAATTAACAACTCAGCACTCATAGCTACTATGAAGCCACTTCCGCCATAGTCCTGTTAAATGGAACCAGCCTATAGGTAACCTAAAACTGACTTAGACGGCTTGAATAAAAGTTAAGTGAAATGCATCTGTTACATATACTGAAGCAAATTAGCCAGGTATAGAGGGAGAAGTACATTCGTTATGCGCTCAGATTGCTCTCATCACGTTTCAAAAAGTTAAACAAGTGAAGTCCCATTGGTTTGACGGGAAGTGGAGTAAAATACCTGGGTGATGATGTGGACTATGGGAAAAAATAATTCCCCACTAGTCAGGAAGACTACAAAAATTATAAGAAGCAGTAAAATGTCTGCGAGAGAATGATAACAGAAGGGTGCCGACACTACGATAAGCAGCTCGAAACCGCGACGAAAAACCACTACCGAGGTTATTATGTGAATTGGCATCTGAAGCCTCCAGGTTACTTAGCAATATGATAGGGATGGGACAGATATCCATAATTTAGGGCACTGAGCATGCGTCCTCGTCGGTAAACCCCTTCGCTTTCATAATAGAAAATGACCAGGGATTTGTGTCATGTTCACTCTGCACCAGCTCAAGTGAACTCGACTTCCTGGAATACGGAGTTAAAGTGGTGAGTCCAGTACTAACCAACGTTGGCGGCATCAAACAAGCCCCACCTGGTGGGTTGCAGCCGATGACGCCCAAGTCGTTGGCAGTCAGAACCGCAATTTCAGAGACAGACTTCTTCAACAGGCAGCAGTCCGTAAGTACATTTGTCAATTGAATGGAGATTAGTTATTGTAAAGCGGATTTGAAAACTCGGTAACCCTGGCACTTTGGAAAACTGCGTACTGATTTGTTTAACACCTATTTTGGCTAAGGCGGCCGAAAAGAGTACCGGAGTTTGAAGCATGGATTGCGACACGCAATGCAACCCTAGCTGATTTCAAAATCTTGTAAACAGGTAGATAAAAGCAGTATACATACTCATGAGGGCTCATTCCACATGGCGATTTTGTTCGTTTTGGTGCGAGAACGAGGCAAGGTTAACCGGACTTGTTTTCTCCCTTGCAATAAAGCTTCGTGGTTTAGGACGACATCAGTAAAATTAATCCTATCGACCGCTGCTTGTGTGGATGATGGACCAGATCAAACAAGTGCTTTTTTAACGAGTCAGCAAACACTTAGTTTGTATGGGAGCAGGAATCGAGATAAAGGTTATGCTTGTAATTAGTGCATTTGTGAAAGAAAATAAGATGCTTCCGTAGCTACCAAACCAAGTATAGGCGAGAATATAAGGGACCGATAGCCACAACTTACCAAACTTCTTCGCGAAGCTCACCATATAACGGTTGCTGGTGTGATAAATGCTGGCACCCGTCTCGATTAGCTGACCAGCGAAATTGGCAGATTTCATCCGACCCCCGATTCGTCCGGATTGTTCAAACACGGTGATACCCACTTCCGAACCAAATAGCTGACGCAGGTAGTACGCAGCTGTTGCACCGCCCATGCCAGCGCCAATGATTGCTAAAAGACGATTAGGCAATGGGTACGCAATAAGTTAAACTATTTGTTACGGTCGGATAGAAGTGAAACCGAGAAAATCGTGCCCCGCAGCAATTATCAACTCTACTCATGACTGTGAGTCAGCTGCATTACACTTGTGGCTCCTCACTAATAAATCACAAATCAGCACTATTGCGCTACTTAGGAGAGGGTGCACTGGTGGATCAAGCTAATGCACATTATGTTAGGTCAGTCACCATCGTCGCCGATACTCGCGTTGTGCTATTCTTTGCTAAATGTTTACTGCGTCTGCAAAATAGGCGCAAGAACATATGGCGCCGTCATCAAACTTACCCTATATTTTAGTGCCGGTGAACGCGCACCTCGTGCCTCTAGTGACATCAGGTTAACGCTCAGGTATTTATGGTGTTGATATTTCATATAACCTGTAAACTGAAAGCATTATGCCCAACTGCATCCCGGTGAATGCTTACATGTGTGTGACTCGACCATGCATCTTTATAAGATTCAGTAAACGTAACAAGGTCTACTGCTATTTCGTTATATGCGACCAACGAATTCTGTCAAGAATAATCCAAAGAATTATACAGGCGGCCAATGCTCATCCATATGGGTATTGCACTGATTACAAGTGACACGGACGCTAGGGTTGCCTGAAGGCCTGCCGGTATCTATCATCACTTGGCGACGGATGCGTGTGCGTAGGGCTGCGGGTTATAGCCCTGCAGCGGACAGATATCATGCGAAGAGCTAGCAATTCCGAAAGAATAAAATTGCCGTTTAGTGCTTTTTTTGCATGCGCAGTGGCTGTCTGACTGACTGAGTGTGGCGGCGATGTATCTTCATTGACATGTTTGTTCAGATCGTAATTTCCATATCGCCAACGCCGATATGCAACACAACCGCTCATGACGTGTCACCAAACGTCTACGAGGCAACATGGTGTTCTGGACACACCATCAGTAGCTATAGACAGCCCACAGCGGTATGAGAATTTTGGCCGATCTGTCTAGACTCAGATCGTGCCATAGTGCGAGTTTGCTAAGCGCATACGCACGAAGCGTCTGGGAACCAATCAACGTCGAGAAATCATATACACCAACCGAGCTCGCAGTCTATGAGACAACCTAATTAGAAGCGATACCAACTATCATCAATTGGAAGTGGGGATCGCCTCTACTAAGTTATGAAGGCAGATATTGGAAATTGTATACTATCTATACTACATGAAGTCCTGAGGCTTTCGGTATGGTGCCTGGAAATAGTTCCATCAAGGGGTTAATTCTTGTGTAGCCCGAAAGTCCCCAGCTGGTGCCCGCTTACGGCTCCTAGAATTGAACAGAAACATTGTTAGATAACAGTCTGGGGAACTAGAAGGGTCAGTGCTTTTGGAGATGGCGGAGCACTGTCCTAAATCATACACCATGTAGGTGTACGAAATTCACCAGTTATCGGTGGCATATAGGCTAAAGACATAAGATGTCTCCAAAGCCCTGCCTAACCCGACGAAGATGGGACATTCAGAGGAGCAGGTTGGTTAGTAAGTAGGATAGCTACTTCTTGCAGTAGCAGCAATACAGGGCGATATGGGCAAACGATACCTGAGGTGAATTTATGCTGTTGAAACGAAACAAGCAACATGAGCCCGAACGTTTCCCTCAGTCATTAATGAGAATGGCGACTAAATATGTCTGATTCCGATGTTTAATCGGCACTGTATGGCGAACTGAAAGGTGGGTTTTCACTGGTGATTTTCAGTTGTCAATTTAGTCAGTGAGAACTGCTAAGGAACATATTATAGAAACCATTGAAACATTACCCAGGTTGAAATTCCCCCAGTATGTTTAGAAACATTAAATAAATCATTCAGTAGCAACGGAGCAAATGTGTAAGGGGCGTTCATACATTGTCCTTAGGCAGAACGTATTATGGGTACTTCAATGGAGCTATCGTTGCAGAAGACATAAGGGTAACCTCCGCTGGTATTAAGGTGGTGTTTGACTTGGTTGACTATGCATTTGGAGCGGTCTATCCTTGAAACGGGAAGCAGAGAAATGCCTAACTATTATGGATTATCCAAGATACCAGTGCCGAGACAGGGTGGCTTATTGGGAGATCCCTAACGGGGTGAAACCGAGTGTCATGTGCCGACATTTTTGACCAACATGTTGGCAGAAATCTGAGCAATGCATAGGAATAGGTCCCCTAAGGATGATCCTATGGACGGCCGTCATACATCACCTCAGCATTTGGTCAAATCTGTATTTATTAGTGCTAGAACTTCCCGATATTTCGATATTCAGATCAAATACCTCAATAATTGTTTTGTGGTTCGCATTAAAGGACAAAAACGATCATCTCTTTATGCGCTCCCGCTGCACACATTGATCAGACGACAGTTGGACTATGCCTCCAGCTGTCGATAAACATGGTGTGTATGCCTCTTGTGAAATAGAGGCAATGCCAGGTGGCTAGCGACAACTACTCAGTATGCCGCGGGTATATCTTCCTTGGCGTTCGCAACCACCCTCTTTGAAAACATTACTAGGTAAATTGACGTAGAGCACTGTAAGTTCGAGTATCCAACTCACAATTGCAGGTATCCATGCCCTATCATAGTCACTCCAATTAGTTAGTTGAATTAAGTATTTAACTATTTGCCTCTTGTAATATCTCGCTGGCCGCAGAACATACGGCACGTATCGACAAGGCTACGGTGAATAGGAATATTTCTCAACTAGCTTTAAAACTAAGATAGATTGATCTGTCAGCCAAGTAGAGGGCTGCTGGAGTTACGATTTGGATCAGAGAGGTGGCTAGTTCTGTTTGAAAGCATCAAGTAGGCGGTAGATTTTGATCACTATGGCTGGTGTGGCACAGCTCATATCTGGTGGGACAACTGGGTGGGCAGTGCTGAAGTCTACCACTTGGAGTTTGACAACAAGCTAACTGATGCAGATCCTACACTGGCTTGGTCACGTCCACCATATAATTGAGAACAGTTTGTCACGGCCTGTTGTTTCCGCACACGAGGGAAGTCATTGATCTGGCCGAATGTAGTACTCAAAGTAAGCTACAACAGTTGTTAGAGGCCTAATCCGACGTCGCGCAGTCAGTTAAGGTCTTATCTTTGGTTTCTTGCATTCTAATATTATCCTTCTTACTAGACAAGTGATCCAACTGCTGATGATGCTGTGTCCACAAATTTGAGTTCTCTGCTGTTTATTACTTTCATATTGTTTGTATTGCAAATACTAGCTAGCCGGCTCAATGACTCTGCGCTCGAATCATGTTTGTCTAACTGAGCTGAAGTGACAATGGCAAATTGTTAAGGTTTGTGAAGTCTCGTGGGATGGTCTGTGTGCAATACATAGGTGCAATATTGTAGGAACCAATATTCGTAGGAACTACGTGGGCAATTGCCAAGGATTCCGTAACTGTTCCACTAACGGGGAATTTGCCGAGACTTCGAAGTGACAAATCCAATCATCCGGAGCCATGTTCTACCTTGTTAAGATGGGAGGCGGAAATTTATTAGGGGTAGCATTGCACGCCACGCAATCGACTAAGCCCTGAGCAACTTGGGGCGAACAATTAATGTTTTCGTATGGGTTGAACAAATATTAGGCACTTTGTTCAAGCAGATCAAGCAAAGGGGCAATTTATCAACGGGCACCGCTGCAGAGTAGATGTATCAAGGAGAGCATCCTACTGCCGTGTTTATCAGTACTGAGTTACTATTAATATTAATGTCAATAACAATAAAGCCGTTGTTTCTTATGATGTGTTCAGAATGTATAGAAAAAGGCCACCACCAGCAGCGGTGAGAATTCCAGTGGAGTAGCGTAAAGGATTAGCGATACCGGTGAGAAAATCGTGCATAAAAGCTTGGTTATTTTTAAGACTATCGCGACGTGGACGTAATACAATGATCAACATCTTCGACTCCATTCGCTTAACTGAACCCTTAGGACCAACATACAGACCATCAGAAAGGAATAGCTTTACCGAATAAAATGTGGGTCTTGTGCTTTGCGGTTTTCCTAGTTCGTCATGACATCTGGCGTCCCTTCACTTCAAACCCTTAAATCATTGTGGCTACTAAAGCACTGACATGGCCATTATTATACTCGCAGCAAGATGAAAGGTCAAGTAAGGTGCGTAGATTAGCCACCCGGACAACGCGCTGCATTCCTATGTTTGCTAGACTGATAAAAGTACGGCCGGATGAAACAAATCGCACGCCGGAACGATAAAGCACCGCACATGTTTTCCTTATACAGGGCACTACTGTAACTTACCCACTCGAAAAGGCGCTTTCTTCTCCGTGTCAGGCATTGCAATATTTCAAGATGCTGAGGTGCTGAAAAGGATATAAAAGTTTTTATTCAGCTCGGCGTCAAAAAGATAATTAAAGTGGTTCGGTGGAAATTCGGCGACACATCACAACACTGCGGTGCACGACAGATTCGTGTACGTACGTGACTGCGTCACGTGCTCAGACACATGCACCGTCCTAATGTTGGGGTGCAAGAAAACGCAATACTAGGTTGGGCAGACGAGGAAGGCGGACAGTCATTCGCTTGGTTGAGTATCCGCACGAAATGGCGTCGGTTTGCGCCCTGTATCGGTTTTGCGCTCACGATAATTCGCATGCATCAGTTAGGATAACCGACATGTTTGGGATGAGATGATCAGGTAATAGGGAATGTTTCCATACCGAACAACCATTGAAGAGATGTTCAAGTGAGCCTGGTCCAGGACCGCTATGTACAGGAATGTTGACTATGCCGGTGTTCATATCCACTGTGTTGGCTCCCCCAGATTAAGTCCCCGTTAGTTGGAAAGACAGCCTCTGGCCACATAGTGGTGGGTGCTGTCGAGGCCAAACGTAAGTCGGACAATCAACTGATAAAAAGGTACTTAACTGACACACCATCTGGAGTTTGGGATGACTTGTTAACCACGTGAGTGCGAAAGGTTGTTGGCTCGCTTGACAAAATGTAACACGCCACACGACAATAGTTGCAAAATGATAAGCTAACGTTCCAAACGGTGATTCTGCATGCGACTAGTCAGGAATTCTGCTTGGAATCAGACCACAACCGCTGCTGGCAGACTCGTAATGAATATCCACGTGATAATAGAGGAAATCCATTCTTGTAGGAAGTACGCCAGCAGTAAAATGCTTAGCATGGACCGGTGTTTGCAACACCATCTCATGCCATTGGGCCTAGTGATCATCTGCGAATCGGGAGCCGCCGTTGGCGGATACGCAAGCCTTGATAACCGGAGTCCTCACCGCCATCTGTGGACGTTAATTGGCGTGTCAAGTGGGAAGTTTAGGTGTCCTCCTTTAAGCGGCAGACTGCAGATTGACCGTCGGTTGCCACCACATCACCAACCTCTTCTGCGCCAAGTGGCCAAGTGGTACATGGGAGTAAAAATCCTCTGTGAAAAATTTCGGAGAAACTGCCTTAGTCGATATTAGGCCCCATATGTGATGTCGATCTCAACGCTAAAACCACGATAGTGGCGAGAGTCGTGTCTCGTTCGCACATGCTCTATGTGGCTAACAGCTGCCATGCCGACTATTGACCACATAGCGATCGATGACGCACTGGACCAATGGGGCGCGTACGCTAGCAAGAGCGCCGCACGTCAGGATAGCAAAGCAGCGTCTGAACACAAGCGCAAACGCGGATAAGGCCAGACTGCGTCTCCACCGTACGACAGCATGACCCATTGGGCAGTGCGTGACGCCGTCATAGTTGTGATTATTTAGGCCCACTAAAACGCCTTATGTTCCTTGCACAATTCACTTTAGTACAGGGTGTCCAGTCCTGCCCGCGGGTCAAATGCGGTCCGCGTTAAACTTCAACTGGCCCGCGACATCATCATGGATTTTTTGCTGTGTAATTTTGTTATTAGCTTGATGTCGTCAAAATAAACTTTCTGTGCCGGAATGAGCACATTTTCTGCACTTTTTACACTAGAACTTTAGAAAAGAGTTGGGTACAAAGTGAATATTGCCCATACATTTACCCCGTAAAATGTGGCCCTCCTTACAAAACGTTTGGACACGCCTGCTTTAGTCAGTGTTTCACAGGGTAAAGCGCGTCGGTCCTGTGCTTTATGCCTAATTTACAGCTAAATGAACAACCTGAACCAGTAGAGAAAGATAGAAAATAAGTGGCTGATGAAAGAGTCCCATAGATGTGATTTGGAGTTTTCTACAGCATGCGACAGAGTCAATCACTTATTTATCCTCCAAAAACTTGCTGCCTACTCTATCAATGGTTCCCTGCTCACCTGCATAGGTGACTACTTACACGACAGAGCAACCAAGGTAAGAGTAGCCGACACTCACTCTGCAAATCTGTGCGTCTCCAGTGATGTACCGCAAGAATTCGCCCTCGGCCGGCTACTGTTTTTAGTCTAAATTAATGAGCTTCCAGCAGACATTCTATCTCTGATGCAAATATTTGCAGACGATGCTAAAATATGGGGAGCAATTCGCTCAGCATCCAACCGTGTCTACCTCCAGGAAGATTTGACTCGGATTAACGAATGGGCAGAAAGGAACCAACTGCCACTGCACCCTGCAAAGTGCCACCTGCTGACGGTGCGCAGCAGCTTCGTCAACACAAATCTTGTGGAACAACACGTCCTGTAACACGTGCCTAGTGAACGCGATTTAGGTATAATTATGCAGGAGAGTTTTGGAAATTCGCTCCAGTGTTCGAAAGCAGCAAGTGTGGCGAACTAGAACTTGAGACTTTTAAAGCGAGCTCTCGGCACCTTTAAGCGACGGCTAGTACCATTGCTGATTAACTCCTACATTCGCCCTCACCTTGAATATGCAATTCATGTCTGGTGTCCATGGTTAAAGTAGACATTCGCCTATTGGAACAACACCAAAGAAGAGCCACAAAGGCAACGTGTGGACTATCCGGTCTAAGTTACGAACTGCGTCTTCGTGTACTCGGTGTGTTCTCATCAGAATACTGACGGCTTCGCGGAGATCTTACTCTCACATACCGCATACTAATTGAAAGCGAGCATCCATATACATCACTGTTGACTCTAGCCCCTTACAAACAAAGCCGAAGCAACCACCTGAAACTAATGACGCAGCACTCCCGTCTGAATTGTAGAAAGTAATGATAAACGTTACACAACAGTTTTATAAAGTGCAATGATTTAACCACTGATACTTCACATTCCACGTTGGAACATTTTGATTTTGCTTTTCTTTTGCATATCCATCCTGTGGGTCTTGTAAAATTACGCTTTTTATCCTATCATACACTATAGAACTATTGAATTCGGCACTTACTGTTCACATACACAACAACCACTGTTAGCTGTCATTTGATTGAATGCAAGCCCCGGTTCCTATGCGGTTTCAGTTATTTTGTCACCGGAAACATATACACATCGCCTGACACACTAGAGTCCGAGCTGAAAAAATTTGCGGATACTTTATCCTTGATGTTACTGCCAAAACTCAAACGTTCAGTCTGTGTGATTGCTGGAGATTGCAGTAAATGAGATACCAATTTTATTCAGGCACTTGATTTGACGAAGATAGCGACTTTTCCTACAAGACTAGAAACAAAGTAGATCTTTTCTGCACAAAACAAGCTCGACTGTTTTCCACGCAAAAGGGCTGCACTCGGCAACTCTGACCAGTACATCAGAAAGGTATGCCCCATTAGTTACAGTAAGGCAAACCCCGTTTTTGGCTAGTATACCATTCAAAACTATCAGACGACGAGACTGCTTTTTGTCTAACATCGCGAGACTCCAAACAATGTTGTCCCTCACGGATTTTTACCCATTTTCAACAACGAGGACGTCCTATCAATATGAGGATTTCAGCGACTATCACAATTTCTACTGCGACATTGATGCGCAATATAAATCATTCATTTAAGCGCAGACAAGTTCTCCTCCCCATTACTCAAACAACTTACAATGAACAATGATTTCTCATGGGTAAAAATGTATGTGATTGACAACTCAAGTAGAATGGCTGGAGTAGAAATTAAAACTGGAATGGTTAAGGAATAAGTAAATTGTCATCTTAGGCGTCTACCGATTTAGATGCACTACTGCAGAAAGGTAGTTTGAAGTGGGAATGGCATGTGCACACCCAAAATAATATTGTGAGCTGCTATAGTTTAGTAAGGGCGTGAAAAATAAAAAGTGAAACGACAACGCCAACTCGTGTGTTGTTTGATTTGACAGTTGCGTTATGTTATTCCAATTTAGACATATCCATGTCACTCACAAGGACACTACTGCATGTCTCTTTACCGTCACGTTGCGGAGTGGGCTGTTAGTCACTTGGTTTGGTTTACTTTATTTCTTCCTCCGAGTGGAACAAACTACCTCAAATAATGCAAGTTGAAAAGCGTGTCATCAAGGTGTTTTTGAATATCGTTAATGTAGGGGCAAGGATGACCTGAGTCGGAAGGGCATTCCAGGCACAGGAAACACGGAGGGAGAAAACGTTTCGTCGACAGTCAAGTCGACTGTAGTGCGCAGCCCGTTTGGTATTGTTGTGTTCGAAAAGTCAACTGCACAAGCAAATTAACAAGGTCGCCCCGGTAAACCAACTGCTGTAATCTGAGAAGTGTCCAACTACGTGAGTACTTTAAGGTGTCGCAAGGAGAAGGATGAACCAATAGGGAACCAGAGAAATATGCACTAATGTGTGTATGTCTGGGGTTGTATGTACTTGTCTGTCTGGACTAGCCGGCAAGCGTACTGACCGAATACACAACAGGTATCTTGGCTCAGGTGCAACAGATTGCGAATGAGTTGGGTTAGTCAGTATTAACTAAACCATGATGTGTTCTCCTCGCTGAAGTCGATATTCACCACTGTACAATCTCAGGGACTGCAGTCTGCGCTGATAGAAGAGATGAAACAGTCTTCTAACGAGTTTGCTTGCTCTGCGTTGTGAAGCTTCAAGTGCACTGATGTCGCGCTTGTACCAGGGATACCAAGCCTAGATCACATATTCTACGTGAGGCCTCACGTAGACGTTCAGCATTAGCGGAAAGATTAACGGCTAGCAATTTCCGAAAGCCCTCCTTAAGAATCGAAGATGTTGACTAGCTCTTTTTGATGCCTTTTCCGCCTGTCTCGAGCAGCCCTGCACGATCACCCCGAGGTGGATTTCCTGGGAAGCACGTTGCAACTGCTGGTCCCCAAGTCGATATTCATGAGTAAGCTGCTGGCATAAGCTCACGGCTTTGCACTTCGCCACTTTGAACTGGAGAAGGAAGGAAAAAGGTGCATACAAATGTAAACCACAAGATTGTGTC